TCACACTTCTAAATATGTGCCTAAAAAGGGACAAACAATATTCTTTGTTTGATAAAAGGCTGCTGTCAAGCACAGCTGATGCCACACTGATGGTGTTCAAACTCCCTCCATCACTAATTTAATCTCTTACCTTTCTACATAAACAACCACTTTAAGTAACAAAAAACTTCCATTTCATTTTTCCAGAGGAGGAAAATGTGCTCCTCAGGCTTTCAATAATTTGGTTTTGTTTTGTTTTTGTGGGGTCACACAAAGTAAGTCAATCTTACTATGTAGCCTGGGTAGCTTCAGATCAGGATCCTCCTATCTCTATACCAGGCTTCTTTAATAGCTACTAAAAGAATCTTACATGAGAGTTAAATAAGAGACATTAATAATTGCAAAATACCTTGAACACTTAAAAAGATACTCTTGCTAAAATTTACCATGCATTATAATTTGATGTTTGTTTTTTCAGACAGGCTCTGTCTTAGAATTATGTAGACCAGGCTGGCCTTAAAGTCAGAAATTCGCCTGCTTTTTCTTCCCAAATGCTGGGATTAAAGGTGTGCACCACTATTGCTTGGCATATTTTTTCTTTTTGGAAAAAAAAAAAGTGATCATAAAAGTTTGACATCCAGGCCTAGTGTAGTAACTCATGCCTGTAATTACTACTCAAAAGTGAGACACGAAAGTCAGCCTAGACTACATGAGACATTCTTTCAAACAACAAAAACCTTTAATTTATACACACACACACACACACACACACACAGAATAGAGAGAATGTCCCAATACTTCAGCTATGAAGGACTTGGCTTTCCTTATAGACAAGAATACCAGTATAAAAGTTTTGAGGTTTTTCTTTCCAGTTTTCTTTAAAGACAGATCCATGTACCCCAGGCTGGCCTCAAACCTGCTATTTAACCAATGCTTACCTCCCTGACTGATCTTCCTGTGTTTTACAAAACAATGTAGAATTTGTCTTCACATCTCTAGAGCTGGGCATAGTGGTACAGGCCTACAATCCTGATACTCCCAAGTCAGAAATCAGCGTTGGATTCCCTGGAAGTGGAGTTCCAGGCTGCTGTGAGCTGCCCGATGTGGGTTCTGGGATAGTATGTACTTTCACCTGCTACCGTCTGTCCACCTCCATTATCAACGTAAGTTAAATGGCTCCATTATTGACAAAAGTTACCCAAAATTATTAAATTGTTACTATTTGAAGATTATTTTAACTAAAAATTCTTTAATAGGCAAATGTAGACATATTAATACACCTTTTACAAAGGCACAGCTGCAGTTCTTAAGTATAATGCATATTAACAAGGAGAGCTGGAGAATCTCCCCATGTAGGACTGCAAGTACTCAGCAAGGAGTCCTGGAAACAAGCATTCCTAGTACCAATTCTCAGCAAATTTAAAATTCTATTAAAAATACAGATCATAAGTCACTCTTCAATCCCAGCATTTGTGAGCTAAAGCAAGATTGTCCTGTGGGCTAGAAACCAGCCTGGGATGGAGTTACCTAGTTTCAAAAAACCAAAATGAGGGGGAAAAAAAGCAAAACAAACAAACAAACAAAAAAAACATGCAAATTACAGATGGACAGTGGTCACGGTTGCACAATACAAACACACTTAACACCCTTTAAATTAACTGCCCAACTGGGGGCTGAAGAGAAGGCTCAGAGTTCCAAAAGCTTGTAGCTCATTTCTGAGCCCCTAAGTCAGTTGGCTCACAATGACCTACAACAGCAGTTCCGGGGTCACTAACACTCTCCCTCTTTTAGCCTCTGTAGGCACTGTACCTGTGGCAGGCAGGCATACACATACACACAAACACACACACACACACACACTAGTTTTTTTAAATTGTACAATTAGGGCTGGAGAGATGGCTCAGCGGTTAAGACCACTAAATGCTCTTCCAGAGGAGCAGGGTTCAATTCCCAGCACCCACATGGCACCCAGCTCACAACTGTCTATAACTCCAAGATCCCACACCCTCACATAGACATACATGCAGGCAAAACACCAACACATTAAATACAAATATATAAATGACTTAATTTTTAAAACTATACAATTAAAATGATTTTAAGATGGAAGGCAGGCACCACATATGGTCTACATAGCAAGGATACACAATGAGAGCCTATCTAATAAAAAAAAAAAAAAAAAGACTTTAGACTATGATCCAAATACTCAAGTGGCTGAGGCAGAAGGATCACTGCATGTTCAATCAGCCTGGACTACATAACCACATAACAAAATCTTTTAAGAAGCAAGTAGCCCCCCAAATGGTAAATTTTCGGTCATGTCTATTTAAATATGTACAAAATTATAATTCATTTTAATGAGACAGTTGTTTTTTAACTAAAGCTGTGGGAAAAATAAAGGAGGAAAATCCAAGCTGGGGTACACTACAAGGGCAAGCACCACAAAGACAAATTTAGATAGTGTCTCCTTTTGACTATAGATTAAACTTAGAATCAATTATCATGGGAAAAATATCCAAATACTCTGTAAAAACTATAATAAATCATTTATCCCTGTGACCTTTTAATTAATGCAATTGTGACTGAATATAGTAATCATACCTAACCTGTGTCTTTCAAGTAAGAACTAGGTGGAAATTGTAAACACAGCTTGGCCATTGTCTCCTGGCAGGAAATGGGATGGCACCAGCCCAACATTAGTTCTCAATTCCAGATATTACATTAGAGTGTTAATAGCTATATTAGCACAGCTCCAAAGCAAACACTGAACTTGTCCCTTCTTGGAAAATGACCTTCACAGTCAGGTGGTGGTAGTGCACGCTTTTAATCCCAGCACTCAGGAGGCAGAGGCAGGCGGATCTTTGAGTTTGAGGCCAGCCTAGTCTACAAAGCAAGTTCCAGGACAGCTTTGGCAGTTATACAGAGAAACTGTGTCTCAAAAAAAAAAAAAAAAAAAAAAAAAAAAAACAAGGAAGGAAAAGAAGAAATGGAGGGAGGGAAGGAGGAGGAGAAGAGAGGAAGAAAGAAGGAAGGAAAAAGAAACAAAAATATCTTTACTGTCCCTGGCCAATTTCCTATTGGAAACTACCATGTAGAACTAAAACCTTCATTACTAATTTTTCTAGAGATAGCAGTTTGCCACCATTTCAGCACAGACCATAGAACAGTCACAAATTAGATGAGAAAATCTAACTTCACATGTATACTATAAATTTCTGATTTCTGCTCAATTATTCAGTACACAGGAAAACTGGCCCTTTGCAATGTCTGAACATGTGTTCTTTCAATAACCAACTTTAGAAGGGCACAGCCTCTCTTAATGGGGTAAAACTCAGACCCATTTCATATCAGTTCCATGTTGCCTGCCTACAATGTCTTCAGATTTAAGTTCCTGTTTGCTTCACTTGGTACTAAGTTACAATCACCATCACTAACATTTTGTCCCCAGCCACATGTTGGTGCATGCCCATAATACCAGCACAGAAGAGCCCAAGGTTAGCCTAGGTTATATAGTGACTTTTGGGATATCCTGGGCTATGCAGTAAGATCCTGCTCCAAAATTAGAAAGGAAGGAAGGAAGGAGGAAAAGAAAGGAAGGAGGTAAGGGAAAAGGAGAGAGAGTGTAAAATCCATCAGGAAGACTGGAAATGATGAAGCTGTTAGTAACTGAGTCCCTGGCTAGTACAAAGAAAAATCTGAGTTCAAACCCCATCACCACAAAAACTGTGTGTAGTGGTGAACACCTGAAATCCCAGTGTGAAAGATGGAGGCAGGAAGATCAAGAAGTTGGAGGCCAGCCTAGGATACAAGAAACAAAACATTTAGGGACAAACCATCCACGTCACAGATTTCAGACTAGTGCATCCTAGTCTCCCAGCTCCTTCTCAGGACTCTCTTACATGTCTCCTGTTCTCTGGGAGTAAACTAGGACGGAATAAACCTCTCTTCTATTCAAACCATCAGTCTGCTTCTTGTTTTCCAAATTCTAAAAAATGAAAAGGAAAACATACTTTTGAGGTATTAAATTTCTAAAGACACCATTTTTTTATTAAATTTTTTTTCATTTATTTTACATACCATCCAGTCTCCCCATCCCCCATCACTCCTCTATTTAGAAAGGAGCAGGCCTCCCATGGGAGTCAACAAGGCATGTCTCATCACTTTGAGGCAGAACCAAGCTCCTTCCCCTACATCAAGGCTGGGCGAGGCATCCCTGGTTCCAAAAACCCACCAGGGACAGGTCCTGGTCCCACTGCTACAGGCCCCACAAACAGACCAAGCTACAGAATTGGAAAGACCATTTTTACAACTTTCTCACTTGTTTCTGAGCTTGCTCATCCTTGCCTGTTAGCCAATTTTCTTACACTGGAGATTTGTCTAAGTCGATTTTCTCTCCACAAGGAGAAAACAAGCCAAACCAAAAATGCTCACTTGGGTTATCGCCATACAAAAAGTGCCCTTCATCTTCTCAGAGAAAACATAGTGTCTCCACTTGCAATAGATACTAGTCAGTCACCTGGCTTGAAAAACTCTATTGGAATATTTTTTTAAAAAAAAAGTCTCTCGTTATATAGCCTAGAACTCACTCTGTAGACCAGGCTGGCTTCAAACTCAGAGAGCTGATCAGCCTGCTAAAATTAAGGTGTGCACCAGCACACACACAGTCAAATACATTAGTTTATGTTTGCCTGGGCAATCTCAAAGTCATCAAATCCTCTTGCCTCCATCTCCCAAATGCTAGGAACAACAGAACACACCACTACACCTAGCTGAATGTTAATTACATACTCCACAAACACAGACTGTATTTCCCTTGCAGCTTCTAAAATAGCACAAATGGTTTATTCATCAAGATACACTCGCCAAAGCATCTGACTATATTAACCACACCTACTTTCAAAGTCACTATTACAACAAAACAGCCCAGATCACTACACAAGCTTTAAAATTGCACTTTAGGTGACTCTTGCTTAAATCATTTTTTCAAGTAAATAAGTACTTTAATCTAAAACAAATACTCCGAAAACCTAAAAAGTTATTTCCCTTGTAAACCCTCTATCACATGGTGAACTTTCGGCCTGTCATACCATTTTAAACAGTTTCTGTTTGCAGGAAAGAATATGCATCTTTTTCTTTTGTTGTGTGTTTATTAAAATCAAAAAGCATTGACTGAGTTCCCCCCAAAAAATTCTCATTTTTTTTCCCAAAAATAATCAGGTATAAAGCTTAAGGAAGTTAATTTCCAAATTTCATTAAACTTTATTATTAATTCCATAGTAACTAATATATCTCACTGGATTACTTTAGAAATCCACAAAAAAGTTTACCTTTTTACATTTCAGTAAGTAACTGAAATTATACCCAATTTAAAAAAAAAATTAAAAAAAAAAAAAGCTTGAAAGCAAGGTATTTTTTGCAATCACTCTGCCTCCACAGGCAGTGAGACTACTTTCCCAGCATACGGGAGGCAGAAGCAGAGGCATGACTCTGAGCTTGAGGTCAGCCTGGCCAGCCACGGTGACATAGTGAAACGCTCTCAAAAAAAAAAATCTTAATAAAATAGGATTACTAGCCTCAAAAGCAGTGATATCTGAGGCAGAAGACCAAACAGAGCAAACAACTACAATTAGCTAATTTTCAAAAAAAATGGTAATTTATCAAGGCTAAAATTGAAAAAAATTAAAAGCATTCATGAAGTTGGTGGGAACTAGAATTCAATCAAGTGACATTACTAGAGCCTCACTACAGCTCTTGCTATTTGAATTTTACCTATTCTCTGATAACATTCCCTGACAGGGCAAATAGAAAACTAAATCTGACTTCTCACCTTTTCTAATCACTATAACAAAGAATAATTTTCTACTATTTTGAAACTGTTCAAAGCTTTTTGAGAAACACACACAAATAATTTGGATTTAGTTGATTTTATTTAGCTTTTTTTTTACATTCCAATGCATTATACAATTACATTTCTCATTTTCTAACCTGCAAACAGATTACCTTAAACGGAAATGCTTCTTAAAAATTATCAAATTAGATACATTCAAAATGCAACAATTACACATGACATTAGTTCACAAAGTGTAAATCACTAGGGCACTGTCCTAATAATTTAGGACCAGCCAGTCAGGAGAAATCTGACCAAATATACACTATTCACATACCCCAAATAAAACCTATCTAAACTTCCCAACCAAAAGTCTGAAAGTTTGTTTATGTTCCCACTGGACAAGAGTGGTAACTCAGGCCTGTCCAGTCTTTATAGTTTTAATCCAAAATACTGGACAATGCGTATAGCCTGGTCTATAACTAAACAGCAAGCATTCAAATTTGTCATAGCAGGCACCTCAGTTTGTCAAACACCCAATATCAAATTTTATACCATTATGTGCATAGAAAGTCTTCTAAGTGTTCACTAATTATTAAACTAGTAGTCATTAAATATCCACTGTTCCCAGCTCACCAGCCCTTAATAAAACCCCAAATATGCAACCCGTGTCACATGGTGACAGGCAATAGTTTATATATGTGTATGTATATATACAATAAGTACAAATGGCAAATAACAGTCCCTGCAAAAATTCAATTTCATTTGAGGCTATGGCTTCTATGCCTTAGGATGGTTTTAGATTTCAAATTTGGAAAATACTACTAAAAATCTCACTTCCTTAAGAGAAAATTTGATAGAATGTTCAGTTTTAAGCTTCTTAGTCTAAAAATGGCTATATACGTATAAAAAGCCAAGTGAGTGCAATTTCTTTCCAGTTTGGTCAAGCTAGCTGGTGGAAACAATTCCTAACTAACCAGGGACCTGCGGCTGCTCCAGCAGTTCTCGCCTACCTTACTCTCCATGTTCACGTTTCAAACTGTGTCAACAAAGCCCGCACTTCAGGGGTCAGCTGCTTAGCAGCCTTAGCTGCCTCTGTGATAGCCCTGCGATACAAACCCTTTCTCTTCTTATTAAAGCGTAACTGGAAGTTCTCTAGAAAGGGGGAGAGTTGTGAAAGAGCAAGGAGAGATGTTGTTGGAGATGCAAACCATGAGATACGGGCCTCCTGTCGGGCTAAAAGGCCATTATCTTTCCGGCTTACAGTTATGGTAAGAATTCGGGCTGGCCACCATGGGAAGCCATATATCTTGGCCCAAACAATGTCCCCTACACATATGGTCCTCCCATCTGGTGTGACACATTTAGAGACATTTTTGGAAAAGATTTTCATTTTCAAGGAATTACTGAGGCTTTTCTCTTCCCTTGAAGAGGAGGAAGTGGAAGAAGTGGAAGGTGCACGCATACTACCTGTAGGAAAAACAAAGCTCTCAGAAGAGCTACACTCCGAGTTGGAGGATTTCAAATCATCCATGCTATCAATGCTACACACTGAAGCACCGGAAGAGTCAGATTTCTCTTGATTTAGGGTCAGGTAAACAGAGATATTGCTTTTGCTGCCCTTTTTGCCCACCGTCTGCAGTTCCTCCTGCTCACCAGGCACATACACTTTGCTGGTGTCCTGAACCTCACTGGCGGCCTCTTGCGGGCCTTCTGAGGGACTCTGATTTTCTGAAGGGGCCTCACCTGCTGAGCGGGTGGAGGTGCAGCGAGACTGCGGCTTAGGGGCCAGCTTGCCACTCCGAATTTTCTCCAGTCCTGTCTTCAGAGAAGAGTCATTTTCTTCATTCCTGTACCTTTGCGGTTTTAAACGCACTCGAGGTGGGAGAGAACCTGAGCTAGGATTCTGATAGCGCCGTGTGAAATGGACTTTCGGGTGGGTGTTTTTGGAAGTAGAAGTTTCACTCTGCTTTTTCTGTGCCTTTTCTTTGGCAATTTTCAATACTTCCCGAGCTTTTGCGTGATCCATGTTCTTGCTCTGGAGCACTTTCTTGGTACTTAACTGAGCTTTTGATGTGTTTGCCTGAGCAGAAACTTTGACTACTCTGCCTCTGCTGTGAGCAATATTGGAAACCCTCACCACAGTGTTTCTTCTCTGGCTTTCGTTTTGGTTTTTCCCGTCCACTTTATGGTCAGTTTTCAGTTTTTTGTTCACAGTAGCTACACTGTCATTTCTCCGTTTTTTATCTTCATACCTAGAAGAGTCACTGCTACCTTTCCTAATTTCCTTCTTTTCTGCAACAACACTGTTTTTACACTTATCACACAGGACTTGCCTGGGCCGTAGCTTAATCGCATTCATTATTGAAGTGGGTTCTTCCCTGTACATTTTTCGTTTGGGTCGCTTAATTTTCCGAGGAGGTGGCTGAGGTATTGATTGGTTATATGTGTCCCTGATAAACAAGGGGGGAGGATAAGGTGCTCCTTCGTGGAAGAGAGGAGGTGGCTTGGAAGTCCACAGGTGCTCAGGAGGAGGGACTGGAGAAAGGTTATCGGGAACAGCACCATTCACTTCACGCTTGACTTCTATCCCTTCTTGGAATGTGTTACTTTGGAGCTGCATGGCGTCCGGTTTATCCTTATATTCCCTTTTGGGAAATACTGTCACAGGGATCCCATGGGGCCCAAACCTTTAAGGAAATGGAAGAACAAAAGAAAGCTAGTGAGTTTCATCTATAACTCAACGTCTGAAACATAATCAACTTAGTAAGTATCTATACAACAAAAATCAAAAATATACCATTGCTTTCTCCAAAGCAACAAAAATCTCCACTTCTTTTGGTTCTATATTTTAGAGAAAACCAGAAATAATCCAAATGGTTACCCTAAACAATACCAGAATAGTTGGCTTTACTTACAATAGAACTTTCTGCTATCAGACAAGTTAATATGAAATGCCATGTGGTATTATACTCACTGAAGCATGGACATTTTTCAGTAAATGCAGCCATACTTTAGATATAATCACTTTCCTTTGGCCTAACTTCTCTCAAAAGATTAGTAAAAGTTGGGCGGTGGTGACGCACGCCTTTAATCCCAGCACTTAGGTAGGCAGAGACAGGCGGATCTCTGTGAGTTCGAGGCCAGCCTGGTCTACAAAAGCAAATTCCAGGACAGGCTCCAAAGCTACAGAGAAACCCTGTCTCGAAAAACAACAACAACAACAACAAAAAAAAAAAGTTTAATAAAAAATAGTGGTGGTGGTGCCTGTCTTCCCACACTCAAGAGGCTAAGACAGAATGACAGAATGATCTCAAGTTCCAGGCCAATTTGAAAAGAACAGAATTTAGATATTCAAATTATTCCCAATTCTGACAAAAATAGAGCTGTGTGGTTTAAAAGTTTGTCTTTTATTATTTGCATGTATGTATGCTCTGGTTGCATAAATATCTATATGTACCATGAGTGCAGTACCTTCAGAAGCCAGAAGAGAGTACCAGGGACTGGAGTTACAAACTACTGTGATCTGTGGATGATGTCTTTAAAGAGGAGCCTTTAACTGCTAACTTGTCACTTCAGCACCACCTGCCAACCCCCTCCACTCACCAAGTTTCAAACTTTTTAAAATCACATACTACATTCAGAAATAATTTCAGAAAAGCAGAGAAGCACACATCTGTAGGCAGTATCAAAGAGTGTGACAAAGGATTCTGAGTTCAAAGCCAACAAGGCCTCGTCTCAAAAAGAATAGCAAACAAAAAAAAAAAAAAAGGAAAAGCAGTATTTTCAAATGTAATCCAATTTAAAAACCAGTTACACAACAGGTATGCATGCCTAGATCCTAGCTTCCGTACAGAATGGGAATGTGCAGAAAAGCACGAATCAATAAAAACTGTTTCTCAGACAAACTTAGAAATGTAAGTGATTTAATATACCGGGGCTGAAATAGAGAAATGTTAAGTTAAATTTGCTGTATTTATTGCCTTCATATAAAAATGAAACCATACTCCAAGCAATCTCAGTGTATGCTAGCATGCTTATTTTAAACACTGAGACAGTAGCACCTTGTGCAAGACAATACTAATGCCAGTCTTATAAAACAGAGTTACAGACTTAGTAGGCTAAACAGTCATGGAGAACCCAGTAAACTGAATGAAAATGTTTTCTATATCAATTTTGCCCAAGAACAAGTTTTGTTTTGTTTTGTTTTAATATTCCTGTACTCTTAAATGCTCTCCAAATGGTTCAGAATTACTTGTTAAGAATACCTCTTAAGCCAGGCGGTGGTGGCACATACCTTAAATCCCAGCATTTGGGAGGCAGAGGCAGGCGGATCTAAGTGAGTTCGAGGCCAGCCTGGTCTACAAGATAGGCTCCAAAGCTACAGAGAAATCCTGTCTCGGAAAAAGAAAAAAAAAAAAAAAAGAAGAAGAATACCTCTTAACTAGTCATGGCTTAAGACCAGTCATGGCGGCTCAGGCTTTTAATCTTAGCAAAGAGATTGTGATGAGCTAGAATTTTTAAGGCAGGCATGGTGCGAATACTTTCAATCCCAGCATTCGGTACACAGAGACAGGAGGATCTCTGTGAGTCCCAAGTTCCAGGACAGCCAGGAATATATAGAGAGAGACTCTGTCTCAAACAAAACAAAATAAAACAAAAAAGACAGGACTCTCTCATGTTCCTCTCTAAAAAATAATAACTCTTTGGGACTAGAGAACTTAAGACACAATAACATTAATGAGTTTATTTTTTTGAGAGTGTCTCACTATGTATTCCAGGCTGGCCTAGAAGCTGCTATGTAGTACAGCTGGCCTTAAACTCAAATCCTCCTGCCTCTGCCTCACAGGTGCCACCACCAAGACATGTCACCACACCTAGTTATCTAAAGTGAAGTTTTCAGAGCGCTTATTAACTGTAAATTTTAGTTTTGCATGTATAAAGTTACTTCCCAGCTCATGGATTAGTAATCCTCAACAAACTCACTAACAAATATTAGGCATAAATCTTACTTCATTTAAGTAGTTTTATATTTTGCTAATGTAGATCTTAGAATTTGTATATCTTACCAATTACTTATATCTAGATTGAATAGCAGTAGTGCTCTTAACCAGTGAAACATCTGCCTGGTCCCAAAAATATTTAAATAATTACAAAATGACCTCAGAGACTAGAAAAAAAATCACTTTAGGAGAGAAAGAGGATCACATGTCTCATTCATCTCAGTCATCATGTTGCCACCTCAGTGAGACCCTTGAAATGAAACCAATTTCAAGGGTCACACTACGATTAAATCAAAATCTGTGTTTAAGAACAGCAAGAGTAATACTAATACTCATAACTGCAATATCTGTTTCGTGTATTTGTAGATGACCAAACACGAGTACTTCTTGGGAGGTGAAGCAGAATGATCAATTCAAGGCCAGTCTCAGATACATGAGACCCTGTCTCAACCACCCCTTCCTCATGCAGACACACATATATTTTTATTTTTATAAACCGAAGTTTGAAAGCCATTAACATCAAAAGATTACTGAGACTATATTGCAGCACTAAGCTAAGCACTTGCAGTTCCAGCACTATCAAGGCTAAGGCAGGAGAGCACAAGGCTGAGGCCAGTCTAGAACACACAGTGTCCTCTCTCAATTCAATAAATCAAAGGACTGGGTATACTGTGCAGTGGTGGAGCCCTGGCTCCATGTTTGATCGCCAGCACTGTCAAAGAAAAAGAAGCAACATAATTGCAGTCTTTTTCAATCATTATTTCTTCAAGACATGGTTTCCTCTGTGTAGTTCTGGCTGTATTGGAACTCAACTACGCTGACCTTCCAACTCAGAGATCCACCTGCCTCTGTGTACCGAATGCTGGGATTGAAAGTATTCGCACCACGCCTGCCTTAAAAATTCTAGCTCATCACAATCTCCTGAAGGGTGAAATAGAATCTTGCCCTGTGCCATGGCACAGAATCGTCAATCTTCTCTAAAACTGTAATCTGAATTTTCCATAAGCACTGCTGCCTTAGGTTTTGCTAAAGCAGACATTTATGTCCCACATCAGTGCTAACCAAGAAAGAAGCAAGCTCAGCCAGGGAAATGTCAATGAGCAGTGTGCAGATGAAAGGTGCGGCATCCCCTGCACAAGCTTCCTCCTACAGACTGCGTGCAAAAGCTCCAAGAGCTGGGTGGCATGCTGCGTGTCTTCCTACTCCACGTGCAGTGCAACACTCAGACACTGGTGACTCATGGAACCTTTCCCATCTTAGTCTTTAATTACCACAGAACTCTAGTCTGACTAGAGGTACGGATGAATGGCAGAGCATGCATTAGCATGTGCTACACCCAAGAGCTTCAATCTTCAGCACAAAAAAAAATAAATAAATAAAAAAGGAGAGGGAAGGAGGCAGGGAGGGAGAGAGGAAAATTCTGCCCAGAGGCTGAAACAGGAAGATCTAGATCCTAAGGCATCTTAGGCTGTATTGCAAGATTCTGTCTCAAAAAAAAAAAAAAAAATCTAAAGTGGTCACAAAGGTTATAGCTCACTGCTTGCCTGGGCATGCCTGGCATAAATCTCTAGCACCACACAAAATAAGAATAAAGAAATCCCTTTATGAGGAAAAACGGGTAAAGGTCCAAGAGACCTCTGTATTGTCTTTGCACTTCCTGTGGCTACAATTACTTAAAATTGATTTCAAAACTGAGTCTTTTGAACAAGTAGCAAGTGTCAAAGAGAAGAGGATTATTGGTATTTAACATTTTTTGTCAAGACAAGAGATAAGTGAAAAGCCCCAGTCTAGGAGTTTAGGGATGTTGCTCAGATGGTAGAAGGTTTGCCTAGCATGATTCAAGCCCTGGGTTCAAGTCCCAGCAATGCAAACACCGAGCATGATGGCTCATACTTGGCTTACACTAGTAAACCCAGCATACTTGGGAAGTGGGTCAGAAGTTCATAAAGACCCTGTCAAACAAACAAATCCATGTTACTTCCGGGAATAAATGACAGTATGAAAGTGAGCTTCTGAACTAGGAATGGCAGCAAACTAGTTACCCCAGACTAGGACAGGCAGAAGCAGGGAGATCTTCTGGGGTCTGATGGGGTTACACAGTGAGACTCCTTGTCTCTAAAATACCAAAGCAGGAAATGGTTTATTTCGTTCTAGGATTTGAATCCCATTTAAGATATAAGTTTTATTCATCATTTTACTCACAATTTCTAATATTGCTTATCAATTCTATCCTTAAATTCACATTGCTTCCTGGGTTAAGAACTGTTACCCAAATTCCTTTTCAGGAGAACATTGAACCCTAAATGAAATGTTTACCAACAACTACCTATTTTAAGCCAGGTATATTTCTAGATTAATTTTTTTTAATTTTCAGATTTTTAAGGCAGAGTCTTGTGGCCCAGGTCTGCCTGAAACTCACTATGTATGTAGCTCAAGCTGGCCTCTAACATATGACTGTCTGAGTGCTGTATTACAGACATGTGCCACCACATCTGGTTTTCCTTGTATTTCTAATTCCTACCTCTGATTTGGAAAGTTTGTTTGTTTTAATGATGGCAGTATTCATCTGCATGAACTTACCAGCACCCTCAATCAACTCATTCCTAACTTCAAATTAATTCTTTTCCTTCTGTTTAGAGCAGTTCCGCTGAATACAACTGATTCTCATTTACTCCCTTCCAATTCTT